CCCAGTCACCTTCTTTTTAGTCTTAGGGTTTGCCAGCCCAAGTCACAAGACACCATGCTAACCGGGTGTTTCACGCCATCAAGGGCAAGAAGTATGTACATGGGGACATGGGATTCAGGTGTAGCTGTTGTCCCACAGAGACGCTTCCTGTGTGGGGTCACCCTGGCTGCATGTGAACTGCGGTGACAGCTCTTGTTAGGCAATTCCTTGTGGGTCTCCCACATGGTCCTGGTCATTGTTGGACACAGTGCTTCTGCTTTGGTTGCCATCTTTCAGTTGTCACGTTTTGATTTTGGAGGACTCGGGCACCGCTTCTCCCCAGGCCCCTCTTCTGTCTCTTATGACTCTTGTCACTGGGTTCAAGTCCACTAGGCTAGTCCTTGATGACTTTACCTTGAGATAGTTACTTTGGCCACAGTGTGAAGAATCATTCCCCAAAGGCCACACTTAGGGGTTCCAAGATGGGACTGTGTCTTTTGGGGACTTCCCAAACCCTCCATGGAGGCCTGATAAGGGAATAGAGAGAAGAAAGTGGCCTCTTGGTCCTAGGAGGTCATTCATGGTGTGAGGACTCTCCTTCTTTCCAGGTGGGATCTGCTGCCACACTGTGCCCTTTGCTGCCTGTACCCACTGTCCGTGGGGCCTCATGGCTTGGAGAGATGGTCACCACAAGTCACTGAGCTGTGCCTTTAGGGGAGGCCAATCTAGGAGCTGGTTGGGAAAGAGGGGTGGGGTGTGTACACCTCAGCTTAGAAGTGAGTAGGGTTTAGGAGACTCTGGAAGGAGGAGGGTGGGGGCCAGGCCTTGTCTTCGAAAGACAGTGTGTCTGATTATGAGCCTGAGCAGATATGTGTTTTAGAGTGGTGTGTATGTGCGTGTGTGCATTGTCTGCATGTGTGCATGCATGTGCGTGCATGTGTGTGTGTGCACACGTGTGTGTGCTCGTGCTCATGTATGTGTGTGCGTGTGTGTGCATGTGTGTGCGTGTGCATGTGAACACACACATGCAGTGCACTCACATGTGCCTGGCACCTGACTCTGGATGTATCTGAGTGGGCCTGTGAATCTGTGTGACTGTGTCTGACATACTTTTGAATGTGAAGGGCTGTGTGTTCCTCAGCGTGAATGCACATGTTAGTGTGAGCTGACCAGGGCTGGGGCTTGGGACACACCCTGAGCTGTGCCTCTCCTCCAGTTAGACCAGTCACTCTCCTAGTCCTGGCTCTTCTGCATCCAGTGGGAGTGGCCCTCTGTGTTTCACCACCCACGTCTTCCGTGGGTACCCTGAGATCTGTAGCAGCCCTACTCTGTGGCAGCGGGGATGGCAGCCTTATCTCCATCTTAGTTTTCCCAAAGTCCCTTGGTGCTGAATTTGGAACCCCAATGTGGACCTACTTGTGAGACCATCACCCCTTAACGATTTCAAGGGCCTTTGGCCAACTGACCCTCAAAACGATCTTAATAGTTCTCATGCCTTCAACCAGGGCCCAGCAGGGCCACACCCACCCTCACATCCTTCTTATTAGAAATGTTCTCATTATGGAAGCATTTTCTGCAAGTCATTGACTACTGACTTTCATTCCCATGGAGACTTCTTCCTTTTTATTGGTTCCTGAACCATCATTGCATATGAGAGAATCCTGTCTTTTGTAATGTGAGTTTATGTCCCAAGGATGGTAATACTAGGTTTGGATGGCTTTTGCACACCTGTGTGTCCTCACTCAGTTCCTCCAGGGTCAGGGACTGGCCTGTCTGCCTGCACTTAGTGGGTGGACAGATTGTGGTCTTGGAGAGTGACCTGTACCCAGGTTCCCATGGGGTCCAGCTCTGTTTCCACCATTAGCCCCTCAGGCTTTGCCCTTCACTTCAGCTTAAGAAGCAGGAAGTGAGACCGGGCTGGAGGCCAGCAGGAGTGGTGGACTGGGTTTTGAAGAGGACCCCACAGGGGTGGCTGCTTGCTTCCTATGCTCCTCACCCTCTGGTCCTTGTCTGTGCCATCGGAACCCATCACCCCAACAGTGGCCTCAAAAATCTCCTCAAAGTGCTCTCAGGAATTATGGGGAAGAGATTTACTAAGGAACCCAGAGATGGAGTAGGACCACTGGCTGAGGCTTGGAGTCAATGCAGCCTCAGGGCTAGGCTCTACTGAGGCCAGGGGAAACCTGTTCCTTTCAGTAGGACTCTGTCTAGCCCCGAGGTCTGAAGTGCTCTTTTCAGTTTTGTGACCTCATCCTGAATGCCTGTCTGTCTCCTGATTCTTCAGTTATAGAGCGCTGGCTGTAGGGAAAGGCTGGGGTATGTCTGGGGGCAGTGGGGCAGGATGACTTCTGAGGTTCGAGGGCCTGGACTTGTTCTGGGTTGATTCTGAGTGCCCCAGCTTTGATCTGGGCTCTGGGGGTGGGGACAGGGGCTACTAGGGGCCTTAGTCCCTGGAGCCTTGTGTTTTTTGTGGTTATTCCATCAAAATGGAGCGACCCTGGTGCCCATAGGTCTGGGGTGAGCCCAGGTGGTCAGCATCTACCCTAAAACTCGGGTCAAATTGATGAGGGACACGTTCTTCCAAAGCTTGTCTCAAAGTATCTGAGTGTAGTATCACAGTCCACACTGGTGCCTTTGATCTGGAACTTTCTGGATGCTGATATATTGGTTGTTGGTTCCCGAATCTGGTCCTTTTTCGGGGGGGGGTTCTGCCCTCCTACCACCCAGGGCAGAGCAGGGGCCTCAGGCTGCGCACATGGCTGCAGGCCTGCATGGGAGTTGGTGTTGTACCGATGCCCTGGTGAGGAGGATGTTGGCATAGTCGTGGAGGGTCTGGGGCGTGCCCTGCATCGGTGTGGAGAAGACCCACTTCACCTAGGGAAGAGGTGTATATGAAGACGGCTCTGCAGCTTGGCCTAGCCCTCCCTGGCCCCACCCACTGAGGTACAGGACCCCACCTTGAGGAGGGTGACAGTGGCCCCATAGCTCACGCTGAGCAGGAACAGGGTGATGAAGACGCAGGTGCTGGTCCACAACTCTTCCAGCTCCTCGCTCTCGGCCTCCTCTGCATATAGGTCCTGGAGGTCTAGCTCTGGGGGGACCAGGCAGTCAGCTTCCCCAGACTCCAGGTGACAGTGGGAGGGGTAGGGCCCACACTGGTAGTCCCAATGAAGCCAGAATGGCAGAGGTCCCCATGTCACCTGCTCTGGGACTGCCCAGAGTCTCTGGCCATCCCTGGAAGTCAGACGTCCTCTTTTCTCTCCTGACCTTGACTACTCATTCTGTCTTCCTACTCTAGCACCCTCAGTGGCCGGATGTCCCCCACCTCAGCATGTATTTCCTTCTGACCACAGGATGTCTCTATCCAGCCTGCAGGCTTGCCCTTCAAAGAGTGCCCAGGGCCCTCCAGGAAGGGCTCTGAGATCATAGGCCCATTGGCAGGACCTGCATGAAGGCTCCAGTTCCACATCTTGGCTGTGGCCTCTGAGGGGCAGATCACAACACATGGGCTCTGAGCCTAGGCCTGTGGCTCTCTAGAGAGGGCCTCCTGGCCTTGTAGGGGCCCTACTCTTGCTTTAGCCTCCCTGTTGTCTGGTTTACTGTTATGGACAGCCCATTTTCCTGTCTCTGCTCTCCCACAGCTCAGGCCTCCACCTTCCTCTGTCTCTCATGGGACGGCAGGGGCTGACATGGAAGGATTGGTCTGGAAGCAGCCTTGAGGTGCTGGCTGACTCTGCCATTGGTGGGCCTCAGAGGTATCTCAGACACAAAGGCTGGACACTCATCTCTGGATATGGTAGGTGTTTATGGGCTCCATTGTATTCATGGCTGTGTGTGTATGAGGGTCTCAGGTGTGTGAGCCTTATGTGCTGGTGGTTAGGCCTGGGGTGGGTGTGGATGTGTCCTCCTTCTCGACTCCTTATTCTTCTGGATGCATGGCTTGTTTTGGGCTATTGCTAAACCAGAGAGCATGATGAAGCCTACCTGCATTGCATGCGTGCGTGTGTGTGTGTGTGTGTGTGTGTGTGTGTGTGTGTGTGTGTGTGTGTTCACGTATGTGTATCTTCCTGTCTTAGGGTTATAGCAGGTAGAGAAGAGTGGTCTGGGAGGCTGAGGTCACAGAAGGAGGCCACCTGGAAGACACTGGGATCCCTAGCAGGGTGTAAGCCCAGACTCAGTGGCTCAAGTCTATCAAAGGAAAGGCTTGGGAATGACCTGAGCTAGAGACAGCAGTGGGAAGCCCAGCACAGGCCACGTGTGAGCATGGGTGAGGTGTGTTGCAACTGTGTGCTGTGCTGTTGGAATCATCTCAAGGCATGGTGGCTTGAGTGTGTGTGTGTAAACATGGCATTGATGAATGCTCCTGACTTTGTGAGGCTGGTAGGCTATTCCAGTCCTTGAGATGAGTTTGGTTGGAGTGAGGCTGGGAAGTAAGATGAGGGCACCAGGTCCTGATCCAGGCCTGCTATGACCACACGGCAGGGCAGATGGTCAGGGCTGTGGGCCCTGCCTCAGCGGCTGCTGAGCACAGAGGGGAAGGAGCAGGTCCATGTGGAGCCCCACCTTTCAAGATGCTGACCTTGGCCGTTTCTCTATCTGAAGGGGTTCTAGTATCCAGGAATACCTGAGGAGCAGAAGCTTGGAAGACTGAGGGGTGAGTGCTGAGGCCTCTCAGGTTGGTTCATTTTAGCCACTCCTCTAGAGACCTCCTCTTTGTCTGTCCGGATCTCTTTCAGGTACATTGTACACAGTGAAGGGCAGGAAGGACCATGGGAGCTAAGCTGAGCCTCTGGGATGTCCTATTTGTCAGACACCCAACAGCCAGATGGATGAGCTGTGCTTTCACTCCCGTCCCTCTCTTGCCATGTCTCTTTCTCTATGCCAAGACACTTCCGTCCACAACTCGCCCTCCCCAAGAACAGGCACCCAGGGCTCTAAGCAGACACTGAGTGTTTATTGGGGTGGCTTCCCAGTTGTTACAGCAGTGGACAGAGGTCTGCCATCCACCTTCCCCACCACAGCTACATGGAACCCTGGGAAGGGTGGAGGGAGGCGTCATTTACCAGGGATCTTGGAAACTGTTTTCTCCAGAATCCTAGAATCTTGCAGTGCCTCGTGGATCACTCGGCAGGTGAATTGTTTATTCTGTGCTCAGTGCGCCTTGGTGACCTCTAGGCGGCTGAAGATGAAGAAGCCGTGACTGGAGCCACTAGACTTCAGGGGTGTTGTGGTTCTGTGTTGGGTGTTTGGGATCAGTGTCCCACCCTGCAGCCACTGCACTGAGATGTCCTCAGGGAAGAAGTTCTGGATCAGGCAGGTGAGCGTGCGTTTGTCCTTGTTCTCCTTCTCTGGTGGTGGGAAAACATACACCTCGGGGGCTGAGCGCTTGCCTGTGGACAGACATTAGTTAGGCTTTAGCTTCTCCGACCATGAAGGAGGGCTGGCGTATTCTCCATCTCCTGCACTTACCCGAGGCCTTGGAGATGACTCGCATGATGGGCTTGGGCAGGTGAGGGTGGGTCACTTTGCACACATAGCGTTCGCCTTCAATCCAGTCGCTGGCATCCACTGGCAGGATGGAGGTGATGCTGGTCGTTGCATTGCGGTGCCTGGTGGAACTCTGGGATGCCAAGCCTGAAAGCCCCCTGTGCTCTTTGGACCACTCCACAGTGACATTCTCCTTGCTTTCCAGGTCCACCACCAGGCAGGTAAGCTTGGGAGATTTGTGTACATACAGGTCCACGGGGCTGGGTGGGATCAGATAGGTACTCACGCCACGCGGTTCATCCTCTGTGCGGTGGAAAGGGCTGTGTGAGACACTACCTTTCCCTCAGAACCCTGAGGTCTAGACATGAGGCAAGTAAGGGCCTACCTGAACACTTCTGGATAGAGGCATCATAGATCTCGCCTTGGGAGGTGACCCTGCAGGTGAAGACGCTGTCAGACATCCATTGCTTTGTGGTGATGTTGAGTTCACTGTAGGTAGAGCCTAGCTTGCCCTCCTTCTTGATTAGGACGGAACTCGGAAATGCATTGGGCATCTTCTGATCATCCTTTAGCCATGTGACAGCGATGTCATCCAGGACATGGCCATAAATGAAGCAGTAGAGCTGAATGGTGTCATGAAACGGACCGGGGTCGCAGGCCGAATGGAGTAGCTTCAAGGTGGGCTGGGTGATGTTGGCTGGCACTAGGGTAGAGACAGCGAGCTGTGAGTATCTCCTCAGCCTTGCATTCCCTCAAGCCTCAGCCCAGGCCCCCGAGCAGGCTGGGTACTCCCCATCCTCCTGCCACAGGTGGGCATGAGAGGTTCTTCCTGCTCTGACCATGTTCTCTCTTGCTGTAATTGTAGCCAGCCCAGCCCTGCTTACCTCTGATCTCCTTACTCTGGTTGAACCCTGATGGGGTGTGTGTCACGTGGCAAGTGAAGTTCTTGGCTGACTTGTCCCAGGTGGTCATTTGGCTGGTGGTGATCATGAGTTCAGAGCTCAGGGAGGGGAAATTCAAGGTGCTCATGTTCTTGGTGTTCGAATACCAGGTCACAGTCACCGGATCAGGGAAGTAGTCTTTTACCAGGCAGCCCAATGTCCTGGAGGCAGTGTCTGATTTACAGGGCTTTAAGGTGTACACAGCAGGCATCTGGGAAGCCACTGTGAGAAAGGATCTAGGTTAGACTGGCCTCAGCTCACTGTAGTCCTGCAGGTTGGGACACTGATTAGGGTGGCTGTGACAGAAGCAGGGCTCTGGGGACCCCGTTCCGATGGGACTCAGATAGTCAGAATCCTTCTGGGTCCTGTCTTCATTCTTCATTCTCAGACCCATGGAGTACCCCCCTATTCTTTACATCCTTCCAGGCTTTTTTCACTCATTGCCCCCCCCCACCCATCTGGCTAGCACAGGAGGGCTGAACTTGAGCTTTGGAGGAAGAGGCAAACTTACCCTCTTTCTTGTTTGGGGAATTATGTGGAAATTTAGCCAGGTGACAGTGACGTCATCCGTGATATGGCCATAAATGAAGCAGTAGGTCTGGGTGGCAGGCTGGAGGGCATTAGGGCTGCAGGATTGTGTGGGGTGTCTTTGTATGCTGCGAGTATGTTTTATTACTATGGGCTAATAAAGTAGCTCATTTGGCTAATACCCAGGCAGAATACAGCCCGGCAGGAAATCCAAGCAAAGATACAGGGAAAGAGAAGGTGGAATCTCAGAGATGCCAGCAGCCGCTGGAGGAGCGAGATGCCAGAGCATTCCTGGTAAGCCACGGGACATGTGATGGTATATGTAGAGCCAGCAGTAAGAAGCCCGAGCCATCAGTCAAACAGCTTGTAATTAGTATTAAGACTCAGAGTGGTTATTCAGGAACTGGCGGGAGGGAGAGGAACCTCCAGTTACACAGGATGAATGTAGTAGCTTCAAGGTGGGCTAGGTGATATTGACAGAGGGACCAGGCTGTCCCTCAGGTTTAAGTTCAGGGAACAGGTACCCCATAGGGATTGGGGCCCCAGAGATCCAATGAATTGCCAGATTGTCCCTTCTGACCCCAGTCTTGGGGACTGGGGATTCAGAGCCTTCCCAGGACCACCAGTTCCCCTGTGAGTCACATTAAATCTGTTTTGGGGCATATGCAGGATAGAGTTGAGACTCTTGCTCCCTAGGCTATTGGTCTCAGTCTCTCAGGTACATCAGTGTCCTGCTTTGGTTTCCCCTTTGCTATATCCCAACCTACATAGTGTTCTGCCTCCCAGATGACCCCTGTGTATCCCAGACAGCACACACACACACACATACACACACACACACACACACACACACACAGAGAGAGAGAGAGAGAGAGAGAGAGAGAGAGAGAGAGAGAGAGAGTAAAACCACTTCAGAAGGCACCTTGGTGGCTGTCTACATTTCTCCAGTGTGCACATGTCCATCACATTCTTCTGAGCCTGGGTCACAGCCCAGCTCTGTGCCAGGCCCCCAGAAAGCACAGGATACTGTTATGCCTGCTTGGTGCTACCTAGTCAGTCTATCTGATTACAACAGGACAGCCTTCTTGGAGGACATTCAAGACACCCATAAATGATTTTGAGCAATCTGTCTTACACCCAGTTCGGTTTATCACCAGAAAGTTCAACCAGACCAGCAGACCCCTAACAATTTGTCTCAGTCCAAAACAACTTAGCCTAGACAGCTCAGTCTAGCCTTGCCAATCCCAGCTCAGCCCAGTTTAGTGCAGCCCAGGCCAGTCCATCTTAGCCTGTGCCAGTCTGTCCCTGGTCAAATCAATAAGCCCACCTAGCTAGGCTGTGGTGGTGCATGCTTTTAATCCTAGCACTTGGGAGGCAGAGGCAGGGGGATCTCTGTGAGTTCAAGGCCAGCCTGGTCTACAGAGTGAGTTCCAGGACAAGCTCCAAAACTACAAAGAAACCCTGTCTCGAAAAACCAACCAAACCAAACCAAACCAAAGCCCACCCAGCCTGGTAGAGCTCAGCACAGCCTAGCCCAGTTCAGCTCGTCCCAGATCATCCCAGCTCAGTCCAGTCCAGATCAGCCTAGTTCAGCCCAGCTCATTCAGGCCCAGCTGACTCATCCCACACCAGCCCAACTCAGCTCATTCTAACTCATCCGAGTTCAGCTCAACATAGCTCAGGTCAGCCTAGCATAGTTTAGCCATCTTATGGAAATCTAAGCCCTAGCTCAACTCTGCTAAATTCAACCTATACCAGTTCAGCCCAGTTTATCCCAGTTTATCCCAGCTCTTCCTGGCACAGCCCAACTCAGCTCCACTCAGCCCACACAAGCTAGTTTAGCTCAGCTCGACCCAGTGTAAACCAATTTAGCTCAGGCCAGTTCAGTCCACACCAGCCCAGCACAACTCAGCTGAGGACAACCCAGTCCATCTTAGGCTAGTCTACCCAACCTAGCTCAGCCCAGCTCAGCTCAGCCCAGTTCAATTCAGCTCAGCTCAGCAGCTCAGCCCAGCCCAGCCCAGCCCAGCCCAGCCCAGCCCAGCCCAGCTCAGCCCAGCTCAGCCCAGCTCAGCCCAGCTCAGGCCAGGTTAATCCAGATCAGCCCAACCCAACTCAATCCAGAACAGCTCAGCTCAGTCCAGTTCAGCCCAGCCCAGCTCAATCCAGATGAGCCCATATCAGTACAGCTCAGCCCTGCTAAATCCAGCTCAGCCCAGCTCAGCCAGCTCAGTCCAGTTCAGCCCAGCTCAGCCAGCTCAGTCCAGCTCAGTCCAGCTCAGTCCAGCTCAATCCAGTTCAGTCCAGCTCAGCCAGCTCAATCCAGCTCAGCTCTGCTCAGTCCAGCTCAGTTCAGTTCAGCCCAGCCTAGCCCAGACTTTTTCAGCTGAGCTCAGCTTAGGCCAGATCAGCACAGCCCAGCCTTGTTCAGGCCATGTCAGACCAGCTAAGCCCACCTCGGACAAGACTAGTATAGCTCAGCACAGCTCAGTCCATCCAACCCTGCTCAGCCCAGCCCAGCTGAGCTCAGTCTAGCGCAATCCAGTTCAGCCCAGTACAGTTCAGGTCAGCCAGATCCAGCTAAATTCAGTCTAGCCCAATTCAGCCCATTCCAGTCCAGCCTTTCCTAGCTAAACCCAGCTCAGCCCTGTTCAACCCAGCTCAGTCCAGCTCTTCTCAGGCCAGCTCAGCAGGCCTAACACAGCTCAACGCAGTCCACACAACCTAAGTTATCCTGGTCTGGTCCAGTCCAGTCCACTCCAGCTCAGTATAGTCCAACTGAGACCAGCCTAACCCAGTTTAACCTAGCTCAGTCCAGTGTAGTCCAATCCAGCCTAGCCAAATCCCTCCTAATTTAACCCAGACCAGTCCAGTCTGGCCCATCTCAGCTTAGTTTAGTCCACATCAGCCCTGCTCAGATCAATCTAGGCCAACTCAGCTCAGCCAATCCAAGCCCAGCTCAGCTCAGTCTAGCCCAGGTTAGTTCAGCATAGTCTTGCTTAGCATAGCCCAGGTAACTCAGGTCAGCCCAGCTCAGCTCAGCCTAACCCAGCCTACCCCTAGCTCAGGCCAGGCTAGTGCAACCCAGCTCAGCCTAGCCCTGCTTAGCCCAGTGCAGGCCAGTCTAGCCTAGTTTGATTCAGATCAGCCAGCCTACCCTAGTTTAAGCTTGCCTAGACTATTTCAGGCCAGCCCAGCCCAAACTAGTCCAGCCCAACTCATTTTAGCTCAACTCAGCCCAGCCAGGTAAGCCCAGCCCTGCTTAGCCTAGCTCAGTCCAGTCTAGCCTAGTCTGATTCAGATCAGCTAAGCCTACTCTAGTTTACACTTGCTCAGCCTAGTCCACCTAACCTAGCTCAGGCTAGTCCAGCTGAACCTACCCAAGTCCCTCCTAATTTAACCTACCCCAGCCCAGCCTGGCCCATCTCAGTTTAGTTTTTGTCTCGCTCAATCTGGCTCAGCCCAGCTCAAATCAACCTATACCATCTTAGCCTAGCTCAGCCCAGTGTGGTTCAGTCTGGGTCAGCTCAGCATAGTCTAGTCCAGGTCAGCCCAGCTCAGCCTAGCCCAGTCCAGTCCAGTCCAGTCTAGCCAGACCAGCCAATATCAGCTGAATATACTCCACTTAGCTCAGGCCAGTACATCCCAGCTCAGCCCAGCCCTTACCAGCCTAGCCCAGCATAGCTCAGCCTTGCCTAGCTCAGCCTAGCCAAACCCAGATCAGCCCTGCTTAGGCCAGCTGAGCCCAGCCCATCTAAATCCACAGCCCAGTCTAGCTCAGCCCAGTCCAATCTAGCCCAGCCCAACTCAGTTTAGTTCAATTCAGCCCAGCCAGTTCAGCCCTGCCCTGCTTAGCCTAGCTCAGCCCAGTCTAGCCTAGTCTGATTCAGATCAGCTAAGCCTACTCTTGTTTACACTTGCTCAGCCTAGTCCAGGACAGTCCAGCCAGAACTAGTTCAGCCCAGCTCAGCCCCGTACAGTCTTCTTTACTTGGCTCATTCAAGCTCAGCCCAGCCCAGCCCAGCCCAGCCCAGATCAGTTTAGCCCCACCCAACCCAGCTTATCTCTGCCTAAGTCAGCCCAGCTGTGGACTCTGTCCTCTTTGTAGTTAGCTCATCACAGGACAATTCCTTGCTGTCATTTGCTACCTCCGGGTAACATTTTGTCCTGGTGGTTTGCAGGCAGATTCATGCCCAGTCTATTCCGGGTTTTTAAAGCTTCTCTCGACATCTTTAGTTTGTCTTGGTTCAGCCCTGTCTGGTTGAGATTTATGGTTCCCGGTCTTTGTGGATAGCTGTAGCAGTTTCTAATATCTGTGTTCGTAGTGCAGGGAAGTTATAGCCGAAGGACATTCAATCATTCAATGACAAGAGGCCCAGTTTATGTTGGAAGGCAGTCTAGGTGTCCCCTTCCCTGTCTGTGACCCTGGAACCTGTTTGCCTCTGCTACTTGGGCAACCCCGTTGGCTGAGGTTCCCCGGGGCTGTAATACCTGAGGTCCTCTGGCTGTCCAGGCTCTCCTCGTCTGCAGCCATCTCATGTCCCTGTACAGGCTCCCAGACGAATCTTTGGTAACCATCATTATATTCATGCCCATATGGTCGTACCTAGGGGAGGCTCTGCCTCAGTGCCCTCGGCTAAAAGTGGGGTGGGAACCCCCGACTTTAGCTGCCCTGGAAGTTCCCTTTTTACTCTGTTCTTGGGAAGTTGACTAAGGGAGAGTGGGTCTCAGGTGAGGCCTCTTTCTAGGAGACACACCTGCACACTCTGGGCAAGGCCTGTTCCTCTCTGTTGTCTGGGCCCAGGGCTCCTCTGTGCAGCTCTCATCTTGATGCCTTGCATGGGGCTGCAGCCATCATGCCTGCCTCCTTGGAGAGCCACTGCCCTGAGAAGGCACCAGGCTAGCCATTGCCTTCTCTGTTCCTTTGGCAGCGCTTCAAGGGAAGTAGCCACTTCATGAGTGATTAATGAGGTACAAAGAGGAACAACCCGACACCAAGGGCCTCTGACAGTGGCACCCTGGCTCCCGCTTCAGCTCTGCAGCTGGCACACTGAGGAGAGTGGCCTTCCCTGGTGCTCACTCACAAGCGACTGTCCTTCAGCTGTGGTCCCTTACCTGCAACTCTGGCAAGGGACCCAGAAGACCAGGGCACATCTGGGCGATGACTGGGTTTCATGGAACTGTGCAGGACACTGTCTCTTCCATGCCTCTGGTCTATGTCTTCTTTGTGAGGGAAGAGAGTAAAGTCAATGTGGAAAGCCGCTAGCAATGTAGTTTTGGCTGCAGCTGGTGCTTTACTGACCTGTGTAGAGCAAGGCCATCTTCTGGGTACAGACCTTCCCTCCACACCCCCGTGTCATTGCAGGCCCATGGTTCCTAGGAGTTCCCTGAAAGCACATAGGTAAGCAACAGGAGCCACCAACTTAGCTTGTGAGGCACACCGAGATTTGGGGACGGAGATCTGGCCTCTCCCCTAGACCAGTGCAAGAGACCAGGGGACTTAGGCTTTGCCGAGTCTGGCTTCCAACAAAAGGGTGTTCAGTTATATTTGAAAGACATCAGAGAGCTACTTGACAATGGCAGGGCCGGGCAGGCTGGGGGCTGGCCTGGCATGGTCAGACGTAGTTAGGAACTTTGGGGGACTAGGGGTATGATCGGAGGGATTGCCTGACCTTGCCTTTTTCAGATATTCTGTCCATCTGGGGTTATGGGTCCAGCCCTCAGCCTTCTAACAGACATGGGTGGAAGGAATCATGATTCTGAGGGAAAATACAGGAGTGAGGGGCCTCTGTTCCAGCTGGATCAGGCACTGCTGTCTGTGGTGTGCCCTGAACAGTAGGAGAGGCTCCACCTCCCTGGGAGCTTGAGGACCAGGAGTAAAGTAACATAAAGGAAAAAAGCCACATAAAGATGGAAAACGCATGGGGAGTCTGGATCCTGTATGTCATTGTGTTGACTTTGAATTTTTGGTTGCTGATGAACAGCTGATAGTTGCTGAGAGACACTGGATTAAGGAAACTGCTAGATGAAACCAGCCCATATATTCTAAAAATGCCTTAACTTCAAAATGTAAGTGTAAACATGTATTATTTTGGGGGACAATCTATATTTTTGTTTCCACAGGAAGGGAAAGACTGTGGATTTCTTCCAGATTAATAGAGATCAGATTTGACTGGGGGAGAACTCCATGTTTGGCTACAGACACAGGGAGGAAGCCCCCCAAAAGACTACAGGACAGGTGGCTTGTAAGATGATCCTTTGACATAGAAACAACTCTGAGATGAGACAAAAATACAATCAATCTTGTTGGCTACAGGGTCCTCATGACTTACTGTTACATGCCATCCTTTCATATGGCATGGATAGAGATTTATATTACAGTTTGATTATACAACCCAAATAGACTTATAAAGTTGACAGATGCCTTTTGCCTACTCAAACATAGAACAAAAAATGTCATCTTTAGCTGACTTATGCACACCGGACACTCCACATGTGTGTTAATGTGGATATGTATGTTACCTTTGAAAGCTTATGTGTTTTCAGAACAAGGGGAGCAGACGTCAATGAACACGGATGGCCTAGGTGATCCAGCCTCTCAGAGTATCTCTGTTAAGGTTTCCTCAGAGTTCTACATCCGGGGAAAAATGGAGTGGAATAATCTTTTTGTACACTCTGAAGATGTGTTGCTTTCATTGGTTTAATAAAGAGCTAACCTGGCCAATAGCTAGGCAGGAAGAGCCAGAATGAGAGAACTCCTCAAAGAAGAAGGGCGGAGTCACCAGTCAGACGCAGAGGGATTAGGGTGTGCAGAAGATGAGGCAACAAACATGAGCCACGTGGCTGCACGTACATTAATAGAAATGGGCCAATTTAAGTTGTAATAGCTAGTTGGAAACAAGCCTAAGCTATGGGTGGAGATTTTATAATTAATAAGAAGACTCTGTGTGGTTATTTGGGAGCTGGCTGGTGGGACAGAAAATTCTGCCTGCAGTTGGCCTCATCCGGTTGCTTGAAGGGCTTTCCAGTGAAGCCGGGTTTATGAGGCGTGCTAGTGTCTTTTTGCACCGCTGTGACCAGATACCTCAGAGAAACAACTTAAGCGAGGAAAGATTTGATTTTGTTTGATGTCACATGCTTAGTCAAGCATCATAGGGGTGAGAATGTGTGCAAGAAGCTATTTATTTCTTGACAGATGGGAGGTAGAGATGAAGGGAATATAGTGTCCAGGGTCAGACATACTGCCAATCCACACCCACAGTGGTCTACTTCTTCCGTCTGGCCACTACTTTTCCATAATGCCACTATGTTCCGACTCCACAAAGGGTTTGATCCACTGGTTATTCAGAGCCCTTAAGACTTAACCACCCCTGTAAAGTCCTTCACAGACACCTCTACAGGCAATTCCATCACTTAGTCCAGTCAAGGTGAACCATAACAATTCTATTCTCTCTTGTCTACCTACCTACCAGCTTTATTGCCATCTAACTCTATCATGTATTATTTATGCATGCATCCGCCCTCCATCATCTCTCACTAGGTGTGTTTCTCTGATGAGGGCCTTATCTCGGATATCAGGACAATGACCGGCTACATTTACTTCAGTTGGAAGATCAGGGTTATTTATTTCTTTTTTAAAGGTAAGGTTGGCCTCTAATTTGCTGTGTAGTCAAGAATGACCTCAAACTTCTGATCCTCCTGGGTGTGCCTTTGGGGTATTGGGTTACGTATGCATCGCCACACCTGGTTTATTATGTGATGGAGATCGAACCCAGGGCTTCCCTCATGCTATACAAGTACTCTCTAAAAGTTGAACCATATCTCTAGCCCAGAATTAAAACACACATTCTTATTTTTTGAGATTAAAATACAATACAATTCCCACTTCCCTTTTCTCCCACCCAATGCTGCCTCTATCCACCCACCACTCCCCCAGGCTGCCTCTATTTCTTGGCTAACACATATATTTCTAAATGTATAATTTAGAAATTCACGTATATTTCTAAATGTATAATTATAACTAGGAGTAGCATTTTGATGACATCTGTTTCATAGCTTTGCTAAGGGTAAGTGTGACAACAAGCTCTCCAGAAAAACTCGGGTCTCTTTTTCTGGGGTCTAGGTGAAAGGAGCAAGTACCTTCTGGAGCATGACATTTTGGGGCAAAAGAACAGAACCATATGGACTCACACTGTGGCCACTCTCACAAACACCCTGACTGAGGCTGGGGTCTTCCTCCCATGGGCAGAATGCCTGAGCATGGAGTGAACGGCGAGGAAGCTGGTACCAAGATGAACACGGGCTTGGGGGGCAGGGGATGCCTTCCCCAAGCCCAGCATGTCCTTTGTTCCCTGTGTCCCGACTCCCCTACCCCTGACATAGAGGAGTCCCCCACTTGACCTCTTCTCTGTGGGTATTTGCAGCTTGCCACTGGAAAAGATTCTGTGGCTAAAATGGGTGTGTGTGTGTGTGTGTGTGTGTGTGTGTGTGTGTGTCTGTGTGAGACTTGGAGTTCAGCATATGGACCTTCTGCTCTGCACAACTGGCCACCGTCACACCATGCCTTGACCATCCATTTAGTTTCCAGCATATATCTTTGCCAGATTAGAAGGCTGGTTAGGGTGAGGGACCTGGTGTGACTTCATCGTAAGTGCCCAACAGTTAGATGGACCTGCAGGAACATGGACCTGGGGAGACATTCCTGTCTCCAGAGCTCAAGTTTCACTGGTCACTGAGTGGAAGAGGCTGGCACAGTAGTGGGGAGCTATGATGGGAAGGGTGGGAACAGTCCTAGAAGAGAAGGTGAGTGGTATGCTGGAGGCAGTGGGATAAACACAGGGAGGACAATGAAGGATCTGTGTGTGCCAAGCTTGAGGCAGGGGCATGCATGGTGCTGGGCTCAGTACTGCGTCCGAGGGAACGGGGGCTGGGAATTAGCCAGCGTGTATGTTTTTGTAAGGACTTGTGTGACTGTGTCGTGCTGTGGCTATGACATGATGCCACACTGTGATGCCCATGTGGACATGTCTCTCTGTGTGTTCTGAGACGCCAGTCTTCATGTGGCTTATGTGTGCACATGTCACATGCATGCATATGTCACTTCTCATGCAGGCATCGGGGTAGCCAATGGTTCTACAATTGGTGTTTGTGTCATGTGACAGTCCCCAGGTTGTGGCTGAATGCAAGTTGGTCAAGTGCCAGTTTCTGTCTGGGCAGTCATGGCTAATACCTCTGTGCCTGGCTAGCACAGGAATTCTATCTCCTCTAGGCTGTGCCTGTTAGACGCTGTCATTGATGTCCTCTTTCTCTGTATGACACTGCATGAGTGTCATAAAGGCCATCTCATAGATGTCCACTATGGACATCATGTGGAGATATCTCACACACAAATACACATGTGGTTATCACAGTATGAACATCTCTCTCTCTCTCTCTCTCTCTCTCTCTCTCTCTCTCTCTCTCACACACACACACACACACACCACACCACAGAATACATGCCACGGGCGTCACACCACAGAGGTCAGGGGAGGACTCAGATCACATCAGGGACACGTCCAGTAAAACTCAGCCTGAAATCAGTTGGTCTCAGAGCTGGAGGTTCGAAAGGTGTGTCCAGTGATTGTGGTGTTTGTGTCTATATGTTTGCAGCACTGATGGAGGTGTAAGAGCTCAAAGGATAGACACTGCCTGGTGTGGGAACCCCTGAGTGGGATCTAAAGTGCTATGGGGCACCAGGAGGAGTAGCAGGATTTTGGAGAACCAAAGCATACGCAGATGTGAGGGAGGGGCTTCGGGGTAGGGAATCTGAGACCACCACTTCTGAGACCACCTGGTCAGTTTTTGGTTTGAGATCATCTCCCAATAAGAAGTTGAGGCAGGGCTGGAGAAACGGCTCAGCGGTTAAGAACATTTACTGGTCTTTCACAGATCCAATTCCCATCACCCACATGGTGGCTCACAACCATCTGTAATTCCAGTTCTAGGGGATCTGATGCCTCTTCTCACTTCTGTGTGCTTCTGCATACACATGGCATGCAGACTTGCACTGAGGCACACTAACATACACACAAAATAGATAAATAGTGAGCGGCTGGAGGCCAATACTTGCTCTAGGAAAAACAAGCAGAGAAGCAGGGCCAGACCTAGGAGGAAGAGTGGGCAGGATCTCACTGGCCAGTTGGCATTGGTGATAGAGGCTAAAGAGGAGTGTTGGTACATCGCTTCAGCCATGTTCATAGCAGCATTATGATCTGGAAGCCTCCTAGATGCCCCTCAACTGAAGAATGGATGGAGAAAATGTGGTACATTTACACAATGGAGTACTACTCAGCAGAAAAACACACACACACACACACACAAACCAACAAAACACAACAGAATCTTGGAATTTGCAGGTAAATGGATGGAACTAGAAGAAACCATCCTGAGTGAGGTAACCCAGTCACAGAAAGACAAACATGGTATGTACTCTCGCATATGTGGATTTTAGACATAGAGCAAAGGATTACCAGCCTAAATCCACACCTCCAGAGAAGCTAAGAAACAAGGAGGACCCTAAGATATACATGGGCACTCCAGAGAAGGGGAAAGGGACAAGATCTCCTGAGTAAATTGGGAGCACGGGGCGGGGGCAGGGAAGGGGAGAGAGGGGTAGGAGAAAGAGGAGAGGAAAAAGGGAGGGGGGAGGAGAAGAACATGATGAATCAGGAAGGTTGCGTTGGGGGAAGAACAGAGAAGGAGAGCAAGCAAAGAGATACCTTAATAGAGAGGGAGCCATTGTGTGCTTAATGAAAAATCTGGCACAGGGAAATCTCCAGGGATCCACAAGGATGACCCCAACTAAGAATCTAAGTAACAGTGGAGAGGCCGCCTTAAATGCCTGTCCCCAGCAGATTTACCAGTTTGACGTTTAAGCCTCCAGGATCTCAAACTGTGCCTATGTTTGCAGACAGGATTTTAAACAGGTAAGCTATAGTGAGGGCTAGGGTGTACCTCCTCCAGCCTGACTGTGCCCTTAGGAGGAGAACAGGACACAGACATACACAGAGGGATGGCCTGTGAGTGTAGTGGATACCCACCCAGCCCTCACCTGTAGCGCTGACCACGCCTGTTTGGGCATGGGCACAGGTGCATGACAGAGAGTGGGTTTTAGGTCTGGGGTCCGAGCAGGTGGCTCTCTCTTGCTTCCGGTCGGGTCACGGAGAGCAGTCTGTGTGGATCCTTAGAGCGGGAACTTGCAGCGGCCATTTGCTTCTTGCGTAAGTGACTTCTCCCCGAATAAAATCATATTTAACCTATACTGAGCCGAGTCCCGTGAATCTTGATTCGTGTATCCGCATGTGAGGACACGGAGAAGGAGGCCCTGCTGAGAACCCACCCTGTCATCACCGCTTCTGGGACTTCTACTAGGGCTTGAGACAATGAAGATCACTTATGGATGGAGGCACAGGAATCCCTGTCCTTTGTCACAGCAGCCTGGGAGAACACGGGACCAGGAGGGAGGTAAAGGGGCCTGCATGGCTCACTGGTCTGCCTAATTGTGCCTTGTTCCTGCATGTGAGGGCCAGTCCACACAAGAAGGGCACAGTGAGATACAGAATATTAGAAGAATGTTTTATTGCTGAAAATACCTAAACAACAGCAACACACACATGCGCGCGCACGCACGCTCACATACAGAGACCTTAAAGACATTTACAATCTCCACAAGAAAAAGGCTGCTAAAGGTTCGAGTCCTCTAAGCCTTTCCCAGCAGTCACAGAAGGACAGGCGCCTACTTTTCCTTCTTGTCTGCAGACTCTGACTTCTTATTGGCCCTGAGAGGTGATGGAGAAGTAGGTACAGGGCTACTGTCTCTTGGCCACAGCAGCCCTGGTACCTCAGCTCTGTCTTTCTGGATGCCTGCTCCAACAGGCGTTCTCTCGTGTAAGTGGCCCAGTCTGGACACTAGGCCTGCAGGGCAGATCTGCTGCACCATGGTTCTCTTCTAATCATCCCTTCATCCTTCACAGTGGCCTCTGCACTTGTCCCTGCTAGGGCTTTGCAGAGGCCAGACAATGCAGTCCTGCCTTCTGAGTGTCTCCCCAGAGTGTGGCTGGGATCTCTCTGGAGGTGGCAGTGGCCTTGACTTGAGGTTTTGCGGGTTGGATCCTGCATCAGGGAATCCAGCACATTGAGTGGATGGCAGGGAGAGGGGTCCTGTCCATCTTCAGGAGGCGCATCCCAACATTTTGAGAGACACAGTCCTGTTCCTCAGCCTGGAGTTCACACAAGTTCCAGGAAGGAAGCTGCCCAAGCATAGCTGGGGCAAAGGCTACCAGAGTGACCTTCCGAAGTCTCTTCTGGAGCTCCCTTTGGGCCGTGGTGACCCTGGTCTTCCTAGCAGATGTCTTCTTTCAAGCATTTAAAAACTTTGCCCCTTTCTGGGAAACCCCTTTCAGAGGATGGTGTGGGTGAGGACAGCTTTGAGGCTGATCCCCACAAGGCTGGACTCAGGCAATGTGGGCTCCTAGCTTCTCCCGGGCAGACACTCTGAGGTTTCAGATCCTCTGGTGCTGGTTTGGAGGGAGACCGTCCTTCTGGCCCCAACCCGTTAGTTATCTGATAACGGCTGTGGAGGTGTTGTCCAGGTCTGGGGCAAAGACTGCTGACGACATGGTCCTCCAAAGGGTCAACAGTCCAGAGTGATGATTCAGAGAGGTGTAGGCTGGTGCAGGATGGTGATGTCACAGGGCAGTGTGGATGGACGGGGTTCTGCAGGGCCTACGGGCCCTGATCATCCCAGAGGAGGTGGGCCTAGGCTCCCTGTCCAATCATGTTCCTGTAGTCAGGAGAGATTGCCTGCTTCATCCCCACCACTGAGGAGAAGATCCACTTTACCTGTGGAGAGGTCAGAGTAAGTCAGAGACCACACCCAAGCTTGTGGGTGAGGCAGAGGCCCCTCCCTCCTGCAGCTCCTTTCATACAGGTAGGAGATTGGGATGGGAAGGGTCCCGGGTGGGACAGACTAGGAGACAGTGCGGCGGCACCGTGGGGGTTGCAACTGGGACGGTGTGGAGATAGCTCAAAGATTATGACATTGGGCCATGGTGAGGCTAATAGGGACACCAAGGGGGAAGTGTGGTAGTTAGCATGGGACAGCAAGTGACATCGTGAGGGGCAGCATGGAATACAAGGAAGTTTCATAAGACAGGATGGGGATATCACCAGAGACAGAATGACGAAGCCTGGGACACTGTGGGGAGTGACAGAGAACTCATGTGCATGGCAGTGCAGGGAACGGTGGGACAGAGTGAGGGACAGCAAAGGAACATCGCACTACATCAGGGGAGGAGTGTGGGGACGTTATGGGGGCAGCGTAGAACACCACAGGGGACAGTGGGGGAGCGGCGCCCACCTTGAAGAGTGTGACGGTGGCGCTATAGCACACGCTGAGCAGGAAGAGGGTGATGAAGATGGTGATGGTTGTCCAGAGCCCGTCCAGCTCCCCGTCCTGGGCCTCAGCACAGTTGTCGTCCAGTTCGAAATCTGCACAGAGAGGGACAGTCAGTGTTTGTCCCAACAAGGTGGGGCTGGGCAATCCCCTGTGTGGCAAGTGGTCTTCATGGAGTCAGAGGAGAAAGGGCCAGCTGGGCTGGGCCAGCAGGTCCTCCCTGGGGCCAGCGGGTCCTCCCTGGGGCCAGCGGGTCCTCCCTGGGGCCAGCGGGTCCTCCCTGGGGCCAGCGGGTCCTCCCTGGGGCCAGCGGGTCCTCCCTGGGGCCAGCGGGTCCTCCCTGGGGCCAGATCTCCTTTCTTTTCCCTCTAGGACATCGGTCTCAGTTGCTGTCAACTGCCTTGAAATTTGCCAGGCACAATAGACCTGACAGTAGCCTGGATTGTGTGAAGGCCTTCCCTTTGCCTTGCCCATCATTGTGGGAGAAGGTGGCTGGGGAGTAGGGCCTGTGACCACAGTGGGGAGTAGATATACAGCCTGCCAGCCCTTTGCTTGTCTCCCCCCATCACCAGCAGAGCCTGTGCCTGGCCATGCCTGGACTTCAGAAAATTCTACACTGTGAAGCGATCCAGGCCATTATGGCTATGGGCTGTATAGTTTACGTGGGGTTGAAACATGACCCTGAGGGACCAGAGACAGATTTGGCTTCAGAGAAGTTGTGCTGAGCATGTAGGATGCAGTTGCCCTCAGAACAGGAAAGCCGTGTTTGACTGTACTGGCACAGATGTGGACGTTAAGGTGGTGGCTGGGGGTTGGTACCCTGATACATTGCTGGGTGTAGGTGTTGTTCAGGGCACACAGATGAGGTCCCAATGTGTTAGGTGTGTGTGTTGTACGTGTGCCTTATGGGCTGGGCCATGCTCAGCAGGTTGGATTTAATAGGTCAGTGCTTAGCCTGCACGTGGGTGTCTAGTAGTCTCTCTCTCAGGGCTCCAAGAGCCATTTGCCTCAGTACCCTGTGTCATAGGAGTGAGTGATCAATGGTCAGGCACTGTCCCTGTGGGTGTTCAGGCCTAGCCTGTGCAAAGCTGCCTGAGTTGAGTGTAGGGAAGGCAAGGGTCTCTGGCATGCCCATGGCCATTGCGCGCCTCTGCACTGTACTCGGAGAAACCCCTGGATGGGGAGGGGGGAGGGGGGGACAAGAATAGAATAGACTGGGGGAGGTGGGGTTTGGGTGTTTTCTTCCTTGGGGGTTTCTAGGTGTATTTCTCTGTCTAGCAGCTGCTGGTGAGCGGGAAGGCAAGGAAGAGGGACTGCCTAAGGCCTAAGGCACTCCAGGTCCGGAAGCCTCGTGAGCTCCGGGTGTGGAAGTGCAGAAATCCCACTCTCTTCCTAAAGACAACTTCGGCATCAAACCCTGGCCAGACCTCATAGCCCATGGCCTCACCTCTACATCCCGGAAAGAACCACAGTTTCACAGGGTCCCAGGGCAGTGCTGGGTGCTTTATTTATACAAGGGAAGGGTGCAGGAGGGTGCCAGGGTAGCTTAGGACCTAAGAGCTTTCTGGGTGCTGAGCTCATTTACCCCGAGACCGGGAGATGGACTTTGTCATGTGGTGGTTGTGCAGGGCCTCATGTATCACGGAGCAGGTGAAGGAATCTCCCTGGTCCCACCTGCTCTTGGGCACATTGAGCTTGCTGTACAGGAAGTAAGAGCCGTCGGAATCAAAGACTGGCTGGGTGTTCTTGTAGCTCTGCTCTGGTTGTGGCTGCCCATTGATCTCCCACTCCACGTGGATGTCCTGAGGGAGGAAGCCTGTGACCAGGCAGGTCACACTGACATCTTTCTTGGCCATCTGCTCCACAGGCGGAGGAAAGGTATATATCTGTGGCACTCGGACTTGCCCTGTGGGGTTAGAAGTAGGCACGGAGGTCATTTAAGTGGAGAGCCGTCCATTCCAGGCCCGTTCTCTGTGTGCATCACACACCTGAGCCTCTAACTCTGCATAACTCACCTCTGGGTTTGGAGATGGTTTTCTCAATGGGGCTAGGGAGGGCTTTGTTGTTGACCTTGCATTTGAACTCCTTGCCACTCATCCAGTCCTGGTGCTTGATGGGCAGGACACTGACCACGCGGTAGGTGCTGTTGTACTGCTGCTGCCGGGACGGTGGCTGAGCTGTCTTGTCTTCTACGTTGTTCACAAACCAGTTGAACTGGACGTCTGGCTCATCCTCGCTCACGTCCACCACCACACATGTGATCTTGGGGGTCAGGGAGATCATGAGCACATCCTTGGGCTTTGGGGGGAAGATGAAGACGGATGGTCCACCCAAGAGGTCAGGAGCTGATAAGAGATGGAAATGGGTCAGTACCTGGGTCACACTCTGCGGTAGGGATGCTCAGGGCACCTGCCATCCTTCTGGGACTGGAACATGAGGCCTAGTGACTTACGTGGACACAGGGGTTTCGGAGGACATTGAGGAGGACCATATGTACTGGGCTCTGTAGGGAGAAGGCTGCATGTTACTGGGGTTTGGAGGAGCGAAGGCACCAAGCTGGGGGGGGGGTTTGTCTCTATCATGGGGTTAGGCCAGGCTGCTGCTGGAAGGAAATGACCCTTGGTAGGTTGAGACCCGAGGGACAGGGATATCTACCCATCCCAGAGGAGCACTCTTTGGGTTGGATGGTCATAGGCAGAGGCCTCTGGGAGAGAAGCAGAGAGAGTATCTCCCGCTGTTCTGGGCTGAGGTCCCCTCCCTGGCGATGGCAGCCCAGCCTGGTTGGTCTAGGTAGGCAAATGCCTAACTCCCACCTCTAGTGAACTCCTCTTCCCCTGGCTGCTCTCTCACCAATTTTCTTGTCCACCTTGGTGCTGCTGGCCGGGTGGGCTACGTTGCAGGTGACGGTCTGGCTGGGCCAGGTGCTGGAAGGTACAGTCACTGAGCTGCTGAGGGAGTAGAGCCCAGAATGCAGGACAGATGGGAAGGTGTGCACGCCGCTGGTCAGGGCTCCAGAGTTCCAGCTTACGGTCACCGGCTCAGGGAAATAGCCCTTGACCAGGCATCCCAGGGTCACCGTGGGGTCAGTTGTGCTTCCTAGTCCAGGAGCCAGTGGATAGACAGATGGGGCTGTTGTTGTGGCTGCAAGACAGAAGGATGTGTGAGCCTGTCTGACATGGGTGGGCTCAGATATCTGGAGAGGCCCTGGCCTTAGCTTTTCTCTGAAGACTGTGTCTTCTTGAGTTGCTCTGAGCCAATTAGGGCCAGCAGCTTCCACTTTGTAGACCCCAGACTCTGACCCTAAAACTCTTTTTAGGTCATTTTATTCTATGTGTATGAATATACGCACTATGCGTGTGCCTGGTGCCCATGGAAGTTAGAGCAGGGTGTTGGATACCCTGAAACTGGAGTTACAGAGGGTTGTGACCTGCAGGGTGGGCACTGGAACCGAACCGGGGTACACTGGAGGAGCAGCAAGCTCTCCAAACTGCAGAGTCATCTCTCCAGCCCAGCCCTAGGAGCCCCTCTTCAATCTTCTCCGCTTCTGCCAGATTGGCTCCTCAGCCTGTGCTCCTGGTCCCTGTCTGTGCCTTTGGCTCTCCTTCCTCCCTGCTTCCCGAGGACCGCTGCCAACCCTCCTACCCTCCACATTCTGAGTGGAGGAAGCCTTTCTGTTTTGACCTGGCTGGCCACTGTTCTGCTCCTTGATCTATGCAGCTCAGACCTCGTGATGAAAACCCGGTGACCTCTGCTACCCACCCTTCTTGTCTTATCCCTTACACTGTCCTGGGTCCTCCCTGACAGTGCTAACACTGCCAGGCCCTAGAGAAGTTCCTTTCTTTTCCCGGTAGCCCTTGCCATCGGAGTGTATGCCCCATTCTTCAGGAAGGCATCTAGTCTCCAGTCCCTTCTGATTCTGGTTCCTCCTCTTTTTTCTTTTCTTCCTAATAGCACATTTCTTCTTGTGTACATCAAAACCCGTGCTGAACAATGAGTTATGAGTTGCAAAAGGGGACACAGTTTTGCATTTGTCTTCCCTGCCTTTGTTTTTGCTGAACAAATCCACACACGACGAATGCTATGTTCTACTATTCTTGCTCCCAGACCTTTCTGGTCTTCCCTCCACCTCCCCCGAACCCTACCTTCTGTAACCCCCAGCTCAAGCTCTGATAGCTACCTTACCTTTCTTCTGTGGGTCAACTCTGGGCCTAACTCATGCTGCCACCACAGGTTTGACCAGCCCTCCCTTCCCCATGTTGCCATAAGCTCCCAGGATCATAGCTAGGGCCTCTGATATTAGAACTGCAGCCCCCATATAGCTGAGGGGCCTGCCCCCCGGCCCCACCAACCCAACTCCTCAGTAGCTTCTCGTGGGTCTTTTATACTCCCGTCTTCTCCATTTCTCCTGTAGCTACATGGTCTTGTCTCTTACACCCCATCCCCTAGTTCCCCTGTAACTGCTCAGCTTGATCCCCAGAGTTACTGGGGCTTTTTCTGGGTTCCAGAACTCCAATCTGTCCGACCCAGAGCCGTTGCAGCTGATCCTCTAAACTCCTGGGGCTGCTCTGGGACCCTGACTTTGATACCTACCTCAGCTCTGTGTAAATGCTCACAGCTGCGCCTCCTCCTATCTACCCTGGGGGTGGGGGGGGAGGCAGTTATCTTAGTCCTTTATCTCCTGGGTTTTTCCTGGACCACCATCAACTCCACCTGCTCCAGACAGCATGTAGCCCAGCCCCCACACTTCCAACGGACCCAGATCTCCTGGAGCTGCTTGACCTGCTCCCTCATACTCCTACTAATCCAGCTCCCCACTAGCTGCTTGGTTTAGTCCTCCACATGACCCCTAGTCCTTCCTCATCTGAAGCAGCTTGGCCTGGTTCCTCTCACACAGACATGCTCTAGCTCTCCTGTAGCCCTCAGCCTAAAACTCCCATAAGGCCCAGCTTTTCATTAGCTGTTTGACTTGCATTCGCAAATTCTTGCCTGCCCAGCTCCTCTGTAGGTGCTTCCTATAGTTTCGCACATAGAGCCTGTTCTAATCCCACTGTAGCTGCTAGGTCTGGACCCTCGTACCCCATCAACCCAAGCCCCCTATAACTCCTAGGTCTGGACTTTCATAACCCATCTACCCCAGCTACCCCATAATTCCGAGGTAACATCCCCACCTGCCCCTGCTCCCCACTAGCAGCTAGGTCAGGTCCCTCACACCCCACCTGTCTCTGCTCCTCACTAGCAGCTGGGTCAGGTCCCTCACACCCTACCTGCACCGGCTCCTCACGAGCAGCTAGGTCAGGTCCCTCACACCCCACCTGCCTCTGCTCCCCACCAGCAGCTGGGGCAGGTCCATAATTCCCCACCCGCCCCC